TCCACTTTCAAATGATTTTTAAAATTGACCCATGATGTGTGTAAAGCCATAGTCTTCCAGATTGGTGCAAAAGCACTAGCCTACTTTCTATATTATTCAAAATGATTCACGTTCTGACGTGATGGTCCACATTTGAACGAAGAAAGAGATTTTATTCAAATTTTATGTATAGCTAGCTTCTCTAGATTAAATTCCAATCTCAAAATTATGCACATTATTAAGAGCTGATTTGGGAGAGATTAAAATCATATTAAAATTGAAAATATAGCCATTGGAGTTGACTTTTATTAGATGAGTGGGACCCAATAACGACTATATTTTCAATTTTAATTGGATTTTAATCTTTCCCAAACAACCTCTTTTAAGTACTTATTTACATAGTCCATGTAGCCCCATTTTTTTCGAATTTCATTTTCAACCACATATTCTTTCATAAAACAATTTTACAGTAAACCCGATTTTTTTCTTATTTTATAACTACACCTATGTTTGGTGGGGGATTAAAATCAAATTTTTAGTACATTTTAATAGAAGTTGATGAAATGTATGGGTAAAAAGTTGTGGATCAAATAAAAAGTGATTAAAATTAATTGTTGACTTTGATTTGAATTAAAACCTTAATTTTAGTTTCCATCAAAGAGGGGCTATACATTCTCCAAAAATCACTATTACAAAATACATTTTTTTCCAAAAAAAATATGGTCAAATAGGGGCATAAACTTTAAGATTCAATATAGTTCAACGAGCTATTCTATCAATCCACAACTTAAATGAAACAATTAAATTTAGTCTTCTAGACCAGTGCAAAAGTACTAGCCACTAGCTACTTTTTATACAATTCAAAATGATTCACGTTTTGACGTGCTGCCCACATTTTAACGACGAAAGATATTTTATTCATATTTTATGTATAGCTTCTCTAAATTAAATTCCAGTCTCAAAATAATGCACATTATTATATATTTTATGTACTTATTAACATAGCCCATGTAGTCCCATTTTTTTTCAAACTCATTTTTAATCACACATTCTTCCATAAGATAATTTTACAGTAAACCTAATTTTTTTTTCTTATTTTATAACTGTACCTATATTTGGTGGGGATTACAATCAGATTTTTAGTAGATTTTGATAGAAATTAATAAAATGTGTGGTTGAAAAGTTGTGTATCATATAAAATGTGATTAAAATTAATTGTTGACTTTGATTGAATTAAAATCTTGATTTTAGTTTCTATCAAAAGGGGACTACATATTCTTGGAAAAAAAAAATACTATCATAAAATACAATTTTTCCCCAAAAAATAGGGTCAATTAGGGGCATAACGTTGACATTTTAAATAAAATTGTACGGTTCAATATAGTTTGTTGACCCCAAAAAATGTTGTCAACAGATGTCGGGCCCACTCATGTACACGTAAGCTTAATCCAATATATTAATACTAATCGACAGTCAGGATGGTTCCAGAATCTGAACGTGAGAGGAGCTAAATGACATGAGATGTCTCCTTTCGGGCCTCCGACAAGATAAATAGAACACGATTGTATAAGAAATCAATCGATGAAGAACAAGATTTGTA